GTCTTGAACTCCTGACCTCAGGTGATCTGCCCACCTCAGCCTCCCAAAGTGCAGGGATTACAGGCATGTACCACCATGCCTGGCTAATTTTTGTGTGTTTAGTAGAGATGGGACTTTGCCATGTTAGCCAGGCTGGTCTTGAACTCCTGACCTCAGGTGATCCTCCTGCCTCAGCCTCCCAAACTGTTGGCGATTACAGGCGCGAGCCACTGTGTGTGGCCCATTTTTATTTATTTTATTCTTTTTTTTGAGATGACATCTCAAAAAAACGTTGCCCAGGATGTAGTGCAGTGGCATGATCTTGGCTCACTGTAACCTCTGCCTCTCGAGTTCAAGCTGATTCTCCTGCTTCAGCCTCCTGAGTAGCTGGGATTACAGGGGCATGCCACCATGCCTGGCTAATTTTTTTTTTTTTTAAGTACACTTTACATTTTATTTTCTCCAGAGAATCGTTGTCTTCAGTCTTTTAAGGACTCTTTACATGGGTTTTGGTGGGGTTATGGGGCAGCACCCATAGGTCTAAATCAGGGTGGGTGTTCGGTCATTGCGGGCTTCACCAGATCCATTCCTGACTACTTTGCTGCGAATTGCACAACTCACACAGTAATGTAGCTTCACACAGAGCTTGGGAAGCACATAGGCATCGAAGACGCTCGCTTCAGAAATGTTCCCGGCTGCTGTGGCCTCCACTATATTTCGAATGATGAATTTCCTGATGGCCTTGTCCTTGGGCATGCACCGGACACAGTTTGTGCAGCAAGTGGGCTGCACGTGGCCATGGCCCTTTTTGGCACCACCGTTGTGTCTTCTTTTCTTTGTCATCTTGGAGGCAGGAGCCAGAGAGCTAATTTTTGTGTTTTTTTTTTTGGTAGAGACGGGGTTTTACCATGTTGGTCAGGCTAGTCTTAAACTCCTGACTTCATGATCCATCTGCCTTGGCCTCCCAAAGTGCTGGGATTACAGGCATGAGCCACCTCGCATGGCCTTTTTTTTTTTGCGATGGAGTTACATTCTTGTTGTTCAGGGTGGAGTGCACTGGCTCACTGCAACCTCCACCTCCAGGGTTCAAGCGATTCTCCTGCCTCAGCCTCCTGAGTAGCTGGGATTACAGGCATGCACCACCATGCCCAGCTAATTTTGTATTTTTAGTAGAACTGGGGTTTCTCCATATTGGTCTTCATTTTTTATTAACTTTTTGAGACGGAGTCTTGCTCTGTCACCCAGGCTGGAGGGCAGTGGTGCCATCCCCGCCCACTGCAACCTCTGCTTCCTGGGTTCAAGCATTTCTCTGCCTCAGCCTCCCTAGTAGCTGGGTATACAGGTCTGTGCCACCACACCTGGCTAATTTTTGTAATTTTAGTAGAGACAGGGTTTCACCTATGTTCTCCAGGCTAGTCTTGTATCCCTGACCTTGTGATTCACCCGCCTCAGCCTCCCAAAGTGCTGGGATTACAGGCATGATCCACTGCGTCTGGCCTATTTATTTTTTTGGACGGAGTCTTACTCTCACCCAGGTTAGAATGTAATGGCACAATCACATCTCACTGCAGGCTCAACCTCTGCAAGCTTGGATGATCCTCCCATCTCAGGTTGGGTATTTTTAGTAGACATAGGATTTCGCCACATTGCCCAGGCTGGTCTCAAACTCCTGGGTTCAAGTGATCTACCTGACTTAGCCTCCCAAAGTGCTAGGATAACAGGTATGAGTCACCGTGCTCCACCCCTTTATGGTAAATTTACTCAAAGAATTATCTATCCCAGCATTTTTCAATAGAAATATTAACCACATATCTAGTAATTTTTAAATTTTCTTTTTCTTTTTTTTTTTTTTTTTGAGACGGAGTTTGCACTCTTGTTACCCAGGCTGAAGTGCAATGGCGCGATCTCGGCTCACCGCAACCTCCGCCTCCTGGGTTCAGGCAATTCTCCTGCCTCAACCTCCTGAGTAACTGGGATTACAGGCACGTGCCACCATGCCCAGCTAATTTTTTGTATTTTTAGTAGAGATGGGGTTTCACCATGTTGACCAGGATGGTCTTGATCTCTTGACCTCGTGATCCACCCGCCTCGGCCTCCCAAAGTGCTGGGATTACAGGCTTGAGCCACCGCGCCTGGCCTCTCTTTCCTTCTTTCTTTATTCTTTTTTTTGATGGAGTCTTGCTCTATCACCCAGGCAGGGGTGCAATGGCACAATCTTGGCTCACTGTGGTCTCCACCTCCTAGGTTCAAGCAATTCTCTGCCTCAGCCTCCTGAGTACCTGAGATTACAGGTGTGTGCTAGCACACCTGGCTAATTTTTGTAATTTTAGTAGAGACAGGGTTTCACTCGTGTTCACCAGGGGTTAGTCTTGAACCGCTGACCTCATGATCCACCTGCCTCAGCTCCCAAAGTGCTGGGATTACAGGTGTGAGCCACTGTGCCTGGGCTTTTTTGTTTTTTTGAGACAGTCTCAATCTCTCACCCAGGCTGGAGTACAGTGGTATGATATCAGCTTACTGCAAAACTCCACCTCCCAGGCTCAAGGCCACTTCAGCCTTTCCAGTAGCTGAGACTACAGGCATGTGCCACCACACATGGCTAGTTTTTAAATTTTTTTGCAGAGATGAGATCTCTCTATATTGCCCAGGCTGGTCTCTAACTCTTGGGATCAAGCGACCTTCACGCTTTGGTTTCTCAAAGTACTAAGATTACAGGCATGAGCCACCACATCTAGCCAGTTTTTTTCACAGTGTCACCTAGGCTGAGGCAGGAGGGTTGCTTGAGCCTAGAAGTTTGAGACTCACTGCAGCCTCAGTCTCTTCAGGCTTGGGTGATCCTCCCACCCCAGCCTCCTGAATAGCTGGGACTACAAGCATACACCACCATGCCCAACTAATTTTTGTATTTTTTTTTTTTGAGACGGAGTTTTACTCTTGTTACCCAGGCTGGAGTACAATGGCGCGATCTCGGCTCACCGCAACCTCTGTCTCCTGGGTTCAAGCAATTCTCCTGCCTTAGCCTCCCGAGTAGCTGGGACAACAGGCATGTGCCACCATGACCAGCTAATTTTTGTATTTTTAGTAGAGACGGGGTTTCACCATGTTGACCAGGATGGTCTTGATGTCTTGACCTCATGATCCACCTATCTCGGCCTCCCAAAGTGCTGGGATTATAGGCGTGAGCCACCACACCCGGCCTGTATTTTTTTTTTTAGTAGAGAAGTTTCATCTTGTTGCCCAGGCTGGTCTTAAACTCTGGGCTCAAGCAAACCAGCCAATTTTTATTTTCCTAGTTAACTACTTTTTAAAAAGTCCAAAGAAACAAGTGAAATTAATTTAATATCTTTAACGTGGCTGCGTGTGGTGGCTCATGCCTATAATCCTAGCACTTTGAGAGGCCAAGGCAGTTGGATTGCTTAAGCCCAGGAGTTCAAGACCAGCATGGTGAAATGTTCAAGGCAACATGGCAAAACACTGTCTCTCTACAAGAAATACAAAAGTTACTTGGTTGTGGTGGCGTGCACTTATGGTCCCAGCTACTCGGGAGAGTGAAGTGGGAGGATCACTTGAGCCTGGGAGACAGGTTGCAGTGAGCTGAGATCGCACCACTGCACTCCAGCCTGGGTGACAGAGTGAGACCCTAGCTCAAAAAAAAAAAAAAAAAGAAAGAAAAAAATCTTTAGTATATTCAGAACATTTACATTTACACAGGTAATCTTTTCAATATTATAAAAAGATGAATGAGATATTCTATATTTTTCAACACTAAGCTTTGGAACTCTGGTGTGTATTTTGCACTTACAGCTCAGTTCATGGGAGTCACGTTTCAAGTGCTCAATAGCCACATATGGCAAGTGGCTACCCAAGTAGATGGCACAGGTCTATACTCTTTACACTTCCTCATCTGCTATGAACTCAACCAACTCTAGTCTGGCGTACGACCTTGTCACTCCCCTACAGTTCCTTTATCAAAGTTACTATGACTTCCATGTTAACCAGATTCAGTGGTCTTCTCTCTGGCCTCAGCTCTCTGCAGTCAACAGCACAGATGACCATTCCTGCCATCTTGAAATGTCCCTCTTGATTCTCTACCTCCTTCAGCGGCTGCTCCTTCTGACAGAATTTTTCTCAGCCACTTTTGCCAGTCAGAGACCTCTGACTGGTGATGTCCCTGCCTGGACCTTGCTTGGCCTTGGGCCTGCCTCAGGAGTTGCCCCACCCATTTGGTCACCAGACCACCCAGGGCTTGTGCTCAGCCTTTTGCACAGGACTAACTCCAGCCCACTTGCTCCAACCTGTGTTTGGTGGTTTTCAAGCTCTTGTCCCACATCCAAGAAGAATGAGGTTACACTGATAAGTGAAACATGAGAAGGATGGAGAATAATTTTATTGAGTGATAAAACAGCTTTTAGTGGAGAGGGGACGAGAGGGTAGTCAACTGCTTGGAGTTGGGTGGTTTCTCCCCCAGTGTGGCTGAGTACAGGGCTTTTATGGGTTCAGAATAGGTGAGTGCATGCTGATTGGTTTGTGAGTATGCAAAAAAAGTTAAAGGCACCAGTCAAAGGTAGGCATGACAGTATAAAACTAATTAGGGAAGGGTAGGTATATGTGAAATAGGTGAAGGGTAGAGATCAATCAGGAAAGCTTGCCAAACGGGAAGACAGGTTCTCAATCTGCTCCGTGGATTTCACTTAGAGCTTGGCTTTCAGCCTTTAGACTGGCTTTGGCTTGGAGGTGGGGTTTTACCAGAGACCCACCCCTATCTGCCTCGACTTTCATCTGCCTCCTGCCTCCGTAACTCTCAATCTTCTTTGGTGCCTCTTCCTATACTGGTTTTCCAAATGCTGGAGTTTTTCTAGACTTTGTCCTGGGCCCTGTTTTTTATCAGTTGATTTTTAAATTTAATTAAATGAATTAGTTAATTAATTAATTTTTTCAGCAGAGTCTCGGTCTGTCACCCAGGCTGGAATGCAATGGCAAAAGCGAGACGGTCTAGAAAAAGAAAATAAAAAATAAAAACAAGCCTTGAGCAGTGGCAGTATCATAGCCAATGAGGTTTATCCGAGGCATGATTATTGCTAATTGAAAACTTTTCCCAATACCCCACCATGATGCCTTGAAAAATAGTCAGCATTGGCAATTTTTGACAGTCTCTACGGAGACTGAATTAAAAACAACAAAATAAATAAGTAAATAAAAATAAAAACACACGAGGTCAGGAGATTGAGACCATCCTGGCTAACACAGTGAAACCCCATCTCTACTAAAAATATTTTTAAAAAAATAGCCGGGCGCGGTGGCTCACGCCTGTAATCCTAGCACTTTGGGAGGCTGAGGTAAGTGGATCGCCTGAGGTCAGGAGTTCAAGACCAGCCTGGCCATCATGGTAAAACCCCATCTTAAAAAAAAAAAAAAAAAAAAAAAATAGCCAGGCGTGGTGGCATGTGCCTGTAGTCCCAGCTACTTGGGAGGCTGAGGCAGGAGAATTGCTTGAACCTGGGAGGCAGAGGTTGCAGTGAGCCAAGATTGTGCTACTGCACTCCAGCCTGGGCAACAGAGTGACTTCATCTCAAAAAAAAAAAAAAAAAAATATATATATATATATAAATTTAAAATATGATTTTTTTTTTTTGAGACAGGGCCCTTTCTCCTGTGCAGGTTGGAGGGCAGTGGTACAATCTCAGCTCACTGCAACCTCTGCATCCCGGATTCAAGCGATTCTCCCACCTCAGCCACCCGAGGGACTACAGGCATGCGCCACCAAGCTCAGCTAATTTTTTGTATTTTTATTAGAGATGGGATTTCACCATGTTGGCCAGGCTGGTCTTGAACTCCTGGCCTCGATGATCCATCTGCCTCAGCCTCCCAAAATGCTGGGATTACAGCATGAGCCACAGTGCCTAGCCATAAATACAATAATTATTTTTTAAAGAAAATTTAGTGCTTCATTGATTTAAAGAAAATTATCCATGGTATTTTAGTGTGGGAATACATCAAAGCATGACTATACCTTAAAAGCAGATATTGTTTTGTGGTGTCACCACATCTAAACATCCTGCCATCCTAAGGGTTTGCCCTTGCAGGCATTACTAAACCGCTTCCTTAGCCAGAAGCATCCCGTGACCATGAGTCGTGACTGGCAAGGAATGTGTCTTGCTAGTTTGAAGATGCAGTTGATTTTATTATTTTATTTTATTTTATTTCTTGAGACGGAGTGTCACTTCGTCACACGAGCTGGAGTGCAGAGGCACGATCTCAGCTCACTGCAAACTCTGCCTCCCAAGTTTAAGCGATTCACCAGCTGAAGCTTACCGAGTAGCTGGAATTATAGGCTCCCACCACCACACCCAACTAATTTTTGTATTTTTAGTAGAGACGTGGTTTCTTCATGTTGGCCAGGCTGGCCTCAACTTCCTGACCTCAGGTGACCTGCCCACCTCGGCCTCCCAAAGTGGTGGGATTACAGGCGTGAGCCGCCACACCTGGCCACAGTTAATTTTAAAACGGTGTCACCCTGACTCTCTTATACTCCTGTTTGCCTAACAGTGTCACCGTGGACTGAGGCTTTTGCCGTCTTTGCACTTTGCCAACCTCAGTGTGTTGCCCACTTCCTCCTGCCCCACACCTGGCGGGCTGCCTCCTTCATCTCCCTGGAGAAGACTGAGGCAGGATTTGAGTGCAGGTAATCTACATGGGAGGAGATCCCAAGAAAGACGTGTAGGGGAGCGAGGCAGTGAGACCGGGAGAAGGAAGCCAGAACAGGGGATGTTCATGGACAACTGGCACCCGCTCCCACTAGGGAGCTCAGAGTGAAATCATCAGAGCTGCTCCATCTAAGGTGAGAATGCTGCCCATGCATCTTCCATGCGTGTACCCAGAGAACATCTAGTGTGCACAGGTAAGGACTACTCACATGCACTTCTCTGTAGCACCAGAGCAGGCTTGTAGGCGAATAGCCTGTTGCAGGGCAAGAGTGACAGCATCGTGAAATGAAACTGCCAAGATGACCAATGGATTCCTGCATACCACAGTATTTTACAGCAATTTTATTTTATTTTTTTAAGATAAGGTCCCACTCTGTCACCCGGCTGGAATGCAGTGGCCCAATCACTGTAGCCTTGGCCCCTAGACTCAAGTGATCCTCTCGCCTTAGCCTCCCAAGTAGAGGGGAATATAGATGCACACCAGCACACCTGACTAGTTAAAAATTTTTTTGCATGTACAGAGTGTTACTGTGTCACCCTGGCTGGATTCAAGCAATCCTTCCACCTTAGTCTCCCAAAGTGCTGGGATTATAGGTATAAGTCACCATGCCTGGCCAGCAAGTTCTTAAATTCTGCAGCAAGTTCTTAAGACAATGACCGTAGCATGGATAATTCTTCATAAAAATGCTAATCTGGACTCCCTGGCGGTCAAGAGCTTCAGAATGTCAGAGGTGTGACCAACTGCACATGTCTTTACCCTAAAAGCTTGTTATAGCAAGGGTATTTTTTGCTGGTGCTGTGGCTCATGCCTATAATCCCAGCACTTTGGGAGGCTGAGGCAGGCAGATCACCTGAAGTCAGGAGTTTGAGACCAGCCTGGGCAACATCATGAAGCCCCATCTCTACTAAAAATACAAAATTAGCTGGGCGTGGTGGTGCATGCCTATAATCCCAGCTACTCAGGAGGCTGAGGCAGGAGAATCACTTGAACCCAGGAGGTGGAGGTTGCAGTGAGCCGAGATCACGCAATTACACTCCAACCTGGGCAACAAGGGTGAAACTCTGTCTCAAAAAAAAAAAAAAGAAAAGAAAAGAAAGACAGGACATTTTCTGGAGACAGGTACAGGGAAGCACCATGTTGCTCGAGACCTCACTTCTGTTTGCAGTCCCCATTTTCTTTCCAAGAAGCCGGAGTTGTCAGCCTTTCTTTGTCCTCTCAGGTCCCTCAGGCTTTGGTGGTGGTTTGCATAGGCCGGCTCACCGCAGGACAATGATACACAAGCACAAACTCAGAATGACACCTGGACACCACCGTGTACACACCCGTCCCACGTACAGCACTGGAGCACACACATCCATGATGCACATACGCATTCCAGAGCACACACCCCGTCCCCCTTCCCAGTAGAACAAACATATATCTGTAATGGCTTCTTTTTTTTTTTTTTTTTTTTTTGAGACAGAGTTTCAGTGTTGTTACCCAGGCTGGAGTGCAATGGCACGATCTCGGCTCACTGCAACCTCTGCCTTCTGGGTTCAAGCAATTCTCCTGCCTCAGCCTCCCGAGTAGCTGGGACTACAGACACGAATCACCATGCCCACCTAATTTTTTTTGTATTTTTAGTAGAGACAGGGTTTCACCTTGTTGACCAGGATGGTCTCAATCTGTTGACCTCGTGATCCACCTGCCTCAGCCTCCCAAAGTGCTGGGATTATAGGCGCAAGCCACCGCGCCTGGCCTGGATTTTTTTTATACCTTGCTTAAGGTAGGGGAGGAGGAGCCTAGCTGAAGCAGAATTTACAGAAGCAGAACAAGCAAGTTAGGTAAGGAGGATGGTAAGTAGGAGGTACAGGAGGTTCTCATGATTGTTGATTTTCAACAGAAACAGGAACTGCATTAGGAATAAAAACTCCTTCTCTCCTTTGTTCAGTGTGCTCTTGTGACTGCTACAGGTGCAAGTAGCACCCTTCTGCAGAAGTAAACTTTGCCTTGCTGAGAAACTTTTCTTCAGAGTGCTGGTCTTCCTCTGTGGCACTGAGAACTTATTTCTAACTAAAAGAATTTAGATTTTATTCAAAGTGTAAACAGATGGGACCCAGAAATGATAGGATTTAATCAACTTGAGCAACCAGCCTGTTTAACAGCCTCCTGCCCTGCAGCCTGTGTAGAATGCAGTCACCTTGCTGTCGGAATGAGCTTCTGACAGACCCCAGCAACTTACAGATCAACCCTAGGAAACTTTCCTCATTAGCATAAGCCAAAAATAAAATTCAAAGACCCCCCATAACCATCTGAATGGACTTCCTCCTTGGCCAGGGCACTCTAAAATTTTTTTTTTTTTTTTTTTTTGAGACGGAGTTTCACTCTTGTTGCCCAGGCTGGAGTGCAATGGCGAGATCTTGGCTCACCGCAACCTCCACCTCCTGGATTCAAGCAACTCTCCTGTATCAGCCTCCCGAGTAGCTGGGACTACAGGCATGTGCCGCCATGCCCAGCTAATTTTTATATTTTTAGTAGAGATGGGGTTTCACCATGTTGACCCAGGATGGTCTCAATCTCTTGACCTCGTGATCTACCCACCTCAGCCTCCCAAAGTGCTGGGATTATAGGCGTGAGCCACCATGCCCAGCTTGTTTTGTTTTTCTTTTTGAGATGGAGTCTTACTCTGTCACCCAGGCTGGAGTGCAGTGGCACGATCTCAGCTCACTGCAACCTCCATCTCCCAGGTTCGAGTGATTCTCCTGCCTCAGCCTCCCAAGTAGCTGGGATTACAGGTGCCCACCACCAGGTCCAGCTAATTTTTGCATTTTTAGTAGAGATGGGGTTTCACCATGTTGACCAGTCTGGTCTCGAACTCCTAACCACAGGTGATCCACCCACCTCAGCCTCCCAAAGTGCTGGAATTACAGGCATGAGCCACCGAGGCTGGCCCAGAATATGTTTAAATCTACCTATGACCTGGAAGCCCCCTCTTCAAGTTGTCCTACCCTTCCAAATCAAACCAATGTAAATCTTATCTGTATGGCTCCCTAAAATGTATAAAAGCAAACTGTACCTTGACCACCTAGGGCACATGTCATCAGGACCGCCGAAGGCTACCACACGTGCATTCTTAACCTTGGCAAAATAAATTTCCTGAATTGACTAAGACCTGTCTCAGATATGGTAGGTTCACATTCCCATACCAAAGCCTCCACCCTGGAGGAGCATCAGCTTCATTATCAAAACGTGACCTAGGCCGGGCACGGTGGCTCGAGCCTGTAATCCCAGCACTTTGAGAGGCCGAGGCGGGTGGATCATGAGGTCAAGAGATCGAGACCGCTTTTTTTTGGCTGGAACCGCCATCTTCCAGTAATTCGCCAAAATGACGAACACAAAGGGAAAGAGGAGAGGCACTCGATACATGTTCTCTAGGCCTTTTAGAAAACATGGAGTTGTTCCTTTGGCCACACATATG